GACTTTGATATGGAAGTCATGACATTATTTTAGGCAGTTGCTTTTAGTAGCACTTTAAAAGCAGTGGCTTTCCCTGGCTTCAGTGGCTTTCCCTGTTTTTCTGCATGTTTATTTGAGCAAAATGAGGAGTGTACATGCAGCTGGATCCCATAAACTAAATTAAATAGGTCTGTTTAATTAGTCAGATGATCAAACCTCTGGATCTGAACTGAAGTTCACTCACTCAGAAGCACTCTATTGTAGACCATAGAGAGGCAAGTGGTGATAATAATGTTTGCAAAACTGCTCAGCTACTGTCTCCTGCCAATGAGGAGTCATCAACATTAATTCACCTAAGGGTTCTGAGAAAATGTTATCTTTTTCAGTCAGCTGCTCAGTCTGCTGTGACCTGTGCTGGGCACAGTGATCATGCTGGTTACTACCTGGCACAATATTTGTCACAGCATCCTGGCTGCTGCAGGACACTGAGAAGTTTGAAGGACAGATTCAGGTTTTTCACATAAACCATAAAGCCATTTACTTTCCTGGAGGCTCTAACCTCCCTTCTCCTCCCACTGAATTCAATTGGAGCATTGTCATTTGTTCCCACAGGACTATTACTTACAGTAGCTTTTGCTGTATTTAGTTATATGCTTTTGTTAAGTTCTTTATTTGTTTGGGGTTTTTTTTGAGACATTGAACAATTTTATATATATTTTTACATGTTTTACAACATATTATTTAGACTACTTTGGAATTTGTTTGTGGTTTTTGTACATCCATGAGAGTCCTAATATTTGCTATAAATAAACTTCATCTGTTTTATTTTGGCTTCCTGGGCTTCTGGACATTTCCAAAACTTTTAGTACTCCCTCTTCATGTAACATATGATAGACAAAATACTCAGGTTTTGGCTTTGTAACAGTTATGATGGTTCCATCCTGTCTAAATATATATACACACACACACACACTTCATGAAGCCATTTCTGGCAAAGGTCTGGTTGAGGGGAAAGATTTTTAAAAGTATGATTTCAACCTTTTGAATTTTTTAATTACCCTACTGAGGACAGAGAATATGTGACCTCCTTTTTTATGTTTCTTGGTTTGTCCAGATAAGGGACAGCTTTTGTCCTCAAATTCTGCCATTCTCAAGTTTGTTTGGGTTTTTTGGTTAATAGTCAGGGGTTGAAAGCAACAGCAGTATGGGGTTCAATTGAACTTGGTTGAAGTGTCATTGTATGTATAAAGAATTTTCATGAGCCTAAATTCATAGGTCCAATAGGCTTGTAATTATTTGAATCCTCTCATTTGCCTCTTGTGATGTATGGTGTGGTGAAAATGGTTTAAATTAGTTTAGTTGAAGATGCAAAAAGAGTTTGCTTTATTTGGCCTCAATGAACTTATTACAAATCTTTCAAATATTTTAATTGTTTTTCAAATTTTAACTGGCAAAAAAAGGTGTTGTGAAGGAACAACTTCTACATTGTTCTACATTGATTTACCCAATGGTTGCTCTCTCAGTTTACAGCAGATATGTGACTCAGTAGAAAATTCTGTAATTGACACATGCATGTGTGTGTGTGTGTGTGTGTGTGTGTACATGCATTGTTTGCAAAGCAGAACTTTCAGAAAGCAGTGAGACACAAAGAAAAAAGAGTATTTACATTTTCAATATAATATTAATTACATAAGAATGTGTACTTTTTCTGAATTGGAAAAAATATGCAGCTATTATCTTATCAATGACCTTGAAAGTTCTACCTGTTCCTTTTGAGGCAGTCTGCTTTGCTGCTACATTTTATAAGTAGCAAGTTAGAATATGTAATTAACTTCCAGAGAATATATTTTTCTTAAGTAATGCTTAAAATAATTGTAGAATATGGATTCCTAATAGTAAAATATTTCTCACAGTTTTATTTTATGCCATAAAAATATTTCTCATATTTTATTTTATGCCATAAACATAAAATTTTTCCCTTTGAGAGCTTTGTCTTTTTATTTCTTGAATCACATTTTTATTTTTCCTTTGTCATTTGGGAGGCATTCCAACATATTGAATGAATTTCTGTTTGTTTGAGAAGATGTTTTTTGTCATGTAAACTGTTTTAACTGCCTGGTAGATATTATTGCCATTTATCACTTGTTTTTTTCCATTATTTATATTACATATTTCTCCACATTCCTCAGTAAATCAATGTAGCTGTCCAGAAAATCAATGGATTTGATCTTTTTTCTTGTTTAAACTATTATGGTAATATTCATCGTAGTAGCTTTATAAATCTGATGCAAATCCAAACACTGACCAGCTGTCTCTGTATTGTTTTTGGTGTTTTCTGAAATTCATGCTGGAATTGACAGAACCAGAACAAGAGATTCTACTATTGTCAGCTGACTGTGAGTCCAGAGAAAATCTTATGACCACATGCTGATATGATTCATCCTATAAATCTTCAGTTCTTAGCAAAGGCACCTAACACAGTAATTCATGCTGGAAGGAGGGATTGGGCCTGGGAAGTGCTTGGGACACCACAGCCCGGTGCATCCACAGTTCTGTGCTGCCCAGCTGTTTGTGAGCACATGGCAAGCACATCAGGCTGGAGCTACAGCTCAGGCAAAGATGGGAAGGAAAGATTCACAGCTCTCAAAGCCCACCAGGAACTTGTTCCTGGTCCTGCTCTCCATCTCTCATTAAAGATGCAGTCCAAGGGGCATAGTCACCATAATCATACTGAACAAATTTCACTGGACAGGCTTAACCATTAAAGAGTGTGAACACAAGTTCTTGTTGAGAGGTGAAAGGGAAAAGATGAAAAGTGGCTGCTTCCTGTTCCCCTATGTTATAGGTTGACATTTCCAACAAGAAGTTAATGATGCTCTTGGTAGTGATCCTATGATCAGAACTCCCACTATAAGGTCTTGTTGGAGATGATATATGGCCTTTAAATCCCCTTTATATTGGGTTCCTTCCAAATCAGAAAACTCTATGATTCTATTTTATATATCTATATTTATAGATTTATAGGTCTATGGATTTATATTCATATATACACCAGCATGAAGACCATTTTACTAAGAAGGCATAATGTAGAATATATTATTTATAGAAAAAGATAGATTTTGAGGAGTTAAAAGTTTAAAGTCCTAGCTTGCTTGCCCTTGAATTAAATATAATTGAGGTCTATTACATGCTGTCCTCATTTGGCAAATATCTAGACATTTGTTTTGAAAAAAGCATCAATCAAAACTGATGCTGTCCTTTCCATAGTCTAAAGACCAGTTCTGCTGACAACACAGTCATGAAAGCTGCAATTTCTGCTCACTTCTTTCTGAGCCAACACTATCCAGACTGTAGCAACAGCAGCTGCATATCTTCCCTGGCACAGAATGATTTAGGGTGGAGAGCAGATTCTTTCCCCTTCAAATCACTTCAGAAAATTCTTGGCAGAAAGTCAGCTCATTTGTTTTGTTCGAGTAAGGAGGCCTGATTTATCAGTACAGAAAAAGTATTCATGCACTGTGCTGAATTGCATTAACTAAGTTTCTGTGTCCCAGACCAGTTGACTTTGTTATTCCTCTGCTCCCAACATTTTTTTTTAATGCATATATAGAATTTCATGTAATTTTAATGCAAACATAGAAAAATATACAAATTTGTGGCAATGTGTTCTATTTCTTTCTTCATTGCAGTTTGTGAAGTAGTTTGTAATACAGTTTGTGATACAGTTTGTGGTATATGAAAGCTCTGATCACAGATTAGACTCGGAAGTATATTCCTTGTTTTGTTTCTTTTTATTTTTTTCTGAATTGCTGGATCTACTAAAGATATATGCCTTAATATAGAAATAAGACTTGTATTCTTGTCTTATACACGTATTAATTTTAGTCAATTTTTCTAAATTCATACTAAATTATTTCTAAATTAACCTATGAAAATATTTTTTAAAGTAATAATATAAGGTTGTCTGGTATTCACAATAAAGCAAAGTAATAAAATCATCTCAATTCTGCATTAAATGAGTATAGAACATTCTGGGATATGGCCCTTTGGTGTTATTTGCAGTTCAAGAAGTATGGTTTTATAAAAAAAACCACAAAGTTTATTACTGTTTATGTATGAATGCATGTGCACATTTATATATTATAGAGAGAGCTATATTATATCTCAATTTTTAAGATGATGATGCCTGAATGTTTTTCATAATTGTGAGGTGTTGACATCAGATATAATTTTTTATCTCTACTCAGCAGGAAATGGATTGTATTTCTGTATCATATTTACAGAAGAAACAGCCAGCTGAAGAGTGAGATTTGCTGTTGTGCAGCCTGAAACTGGGAAGTCATGCAGAAAATCAAGGTATGACCTGTTTGAAAGATAAAAGGGCAAATTCTTCGAATAGAGTAGGAAGGCAGAATGTCGATAAAGCTTTCAAAATCCTCCCTTTTTCTTCAGCAGAATTAATCTTGTCCTGCTACAATCTGGCTTCAACTGTTCCCTCTATTTTTAGTTACTGATCCTAGCCAGTCCTCAAATAGCTCAGAGCTGGTGTTGTTTGTGTCTGATGTAAAACTGATACAGACTTTGTTGGCATTTTCATTCATGTTTCATAATCTTCTCCAGTGAATACATAAAGACAATTCTTAGGTGTGCTGGGAGGGGATATTTTTATTGCTGTGGACTAGATCAGGCCCCCATTGTTTGACACTTAGGGTGCTCCTCATTTGATCGTAAAGGAAGAAATAAAAACATTTTAGTGATACTATAGTTACTTATTTACATTTAGTTGCAGAGAGGCATCACAGTTAAGATCAGGAAGCTTCCCCTTCAGACTTGTTTCTCTCTTATTTGTGTATTAAGTCCTTCATACCATCTGTATGCCATGAGAAAGACCCTGTGAGCTAGAAGTAGTGGTTTAATTTGCCCTTTGAGAAAAACATTAATTTAAAAAAAAAGCCATTAAAGAGCTTTTCAAATGTCATTTATACAAATTTTGGTTCCACAAAAGAGAAAGAGTATATATGTAAGACATTGCAGGAGGTTTTTATTGATCAATTAAATTAAAATAGGCACAGTGGGGAACAAATCTACCAACAAATTGTGATTAAACCTATTAGTATTTCCTTATGCAGTACTCATATCTCTAATTGCATTACTTTTTTTCCTACAGTGATGTATTTAAGTAGGCTCATTAATACAATTTAAAACATCTGATAAGAGTTAATTTTTGAAATAAGATTTTTCTTCTTTTCTATGAAATATCTTTTCAAGCATTATAGATTATCAGATTTAGAAAATTGGAATGTAGTTGTTAATTTTGGTTCTGTGTCTCTGAGAAATGCATTCAGCAATCCATACAATATTCCTGCATTCTTGTTCCTTTAACTTCACATAGGCATAAAATACTCCAAAATGAAACTGGTTGTTGAATGCAAGCGCATTCAGCTTTACCTGTAGAAAAGATGAAACAAGTGTTAGGATAAAATATAGGAGGGTGAATGGGATTTTTATATGGTAGCTTTAATGTTCAAGACTTCTTGCAGCTTTGCAACCATGATTATATTTAGCAATCTCTTGAGTATTAGTGTAATTGAAATGTCATCTGTGGAATAATTTTGGTAATAGAGTACAGCAATATTACAGGAAATAAAAGACAGTGGTGAAATAACTTCTCTAGTAGATTACTCAAAAGAAATTTAATTAAGTGGTGTTTATGATATATCTTTTGGATAGGTTATCAGGAATGATAGCTGTGTAAAGAGTCTTCAGAAGAATGTTATAGGATTAATTTTATTTAAAAAGGTAAATTCTTCTATTTTTATTCAGTCAGATGTTGACAGCCATCAAAAATCCATGTTCTTGAATAGAAAGCAGTAGAGTAGAATCAAAAGCCTGGTACCTCATTCTTGTTTTAATTATTATTCCATGTGAGTAACATTCATTTTTGTATTTTAAGGCTAGAAGTTTTACCTCATGTTCAAAAAATGCGTCTTCCAGTGTCTTTTCTCCAGTGCCACTCCCTACACCTTCAAACACAGCCTTGTATTCCTAAAAGCAGAGACAACCACTGTCCATGGAAATAAGGTAGTTTTGCATTCTGTGCAGCACAGACACCTTACATTATGTTGTAAATTAATCTTTGTTAAGTAATCTTTCTGTATGGATGACCTCCTGTATAGACCACAATTCTACATAAATCAAAAGTTAAAAGCATATAATCAGCAAAAGAAAGAAAAATCACATCTGTTCTTGTATTTCTTATCATCATTTCTAACAATTTAAATTAATTTGCTGAAGGCAGTAAAAGAGACTTATTGTGGAATGACATGTGACCTTTTACTCCTTTGGGCAGAGAGCACTGAACTTCTTGTACAAATAGTATCCATCAGAGCCAGAGCTCTACATGGAGCCAAAACACTGAACTCTGATCATCACATGGCTGCTCCTTTTATTTCCAGTTGTCAGCTGGATTTGCCTTACCTGCACTAATATTGTATCCAAATCCATTAGTCTGATTTGTCATCCTGGAATATCCTGTGCAGATACATTTGACTTGATTTCTTAGGTGTTACATTTCCTGTGTAATTTCCTTCTCTGTGTGTTTGGTTTGTTTTTCCCTTAAAGTAGTGGTGTAGTAGAGGTCTACTACAATGGTTCCCAAATTCATCTAAATAACCCACCATCTCATGAACAATCTTGCTCCGTACCTCACTGACATGGTAACTCATGTTTAAAATGCTCTCTTTCTGCATAGGAGCAGATGCACAGCTTCACCTTTGTGGAGTTTTTTTGTGGAAAAAGCAATAGACCAGATATTTTTTGTGTACCCACTTAGAGGTAGCTTAAATATTATAGTTAGACAGAGTACAGCAGTTAATTTGTAGATCAAGTATTGCAGATTACTAATCTTTAATAAAAACACTATTTGCATCAATATTAACATTTTCATCTAGTTCTTTGAATAAATTAGTGATTTTGAGAAAATGTTTCAGAAGGGAATTTTTATGGTATACTGGCAATAAATCAGGTTTGACTAATCTGTGACATTAATTGTTTGGTCAGCTCAGTTTAAAATGCTGTATGGCTATGCTCCAAAATCTTGGAGGCTGAGGCAATGAAGTGAAACTCAATTTGGGGAGAGTTAATGGAGTAGGAAGAGTTTTATTTACTAGATGTGATTTGCTCTTACTTAAACATCCTTGTAAGAGGAACTTTGTACTGCACTAATGTAATAATGTCTTCTCTCAATCTTATCTCTTCATATCAAAAGTCTTTGATCCCATACACTTTTTTATGGGAACTTTAGTACCTCTGCTGATATTTTTCCTCTCTCAAAAATTCTTTTAACTTACTTGTATACTCTTAACAATTTTGCTGATGTCAGGAGATGTTAATTAACTATTTTTATATTGACTTTTTGTTTTAATAAATGAGTTTACATACTGCATAGTATTCTGCAACACACTTCACTTGCTCGTAGTCATCTGCATTGGCCAACAGGTGTAAGCCTTCTGGGTAAAGTTTTCCACAGGTTGGATACAGCTTCTCTCGGTCATCTTTACTCAGCTCAGTGCCAAATGAATTAATGGTGATGATAAAAGCACGTCTGTCTGCCTCAAACTCAATATGCAAAACAAAGAATAAAGAGGTGTTATTAGACATCTCATTCTAAATTAGGGTGGGCATATTCTGGGGTTTTTCAGTAAGTCAAATGGAAGTGTAATTTTTTTTAAAAAAGTCGACTTGAGAGCATTGGACACATACTTTATTTTTGAAATTGTAAATTCTCTCTCTCTTCTTTACAAATATGCATTAAATTTTGACTAGAAAATCAACAAGATTTTGCAACTACAGTTTTTATACTGTGTTTTTTATTCTAAAAATATAATTTCTGCTGCTTCCTCATTTCCCTGCTTAGTTACCCAGATGTTGACAAGAAAAAATATCTGCACAACCTCATGTGTAAGATTATGCAATAATGATCTTATAAATAAAACTGATAAAGGAAAGGACAAAGAATCAATAGTACTGCCTGTAACTCAAAGTGCTGTTGATAGTAAAAGTTGAATGAAAATCCTAAAAAAATGTAGTTTCTCAATGCACATATTTAAAATGATAATTTGATAAGGAGGAGGGGGCCGTTTACTTGCAAAGTTAAAGTTTAAAGTAGTTCAAATAACAGTTACTTTTTAATACATAGAATAAAAGGCTATATTTCTTCTGTCGGGTTTAGATGCCTGCAGTATCTGTATTTTCACTGCAGCAGCAGACTGAAAGGCAATCCAATGTCTAGATCTTGGGTTCTTATTTTGTACGAGGAAAAATTTCACTTAACCATTCTTATAGTATGACTGAAAAATGCAGTAGTAAATAAAATCAATCTTTTCTTCTTTCTTGAGATCTAAATTGACTATGGTTTTAGTTCTTTCCTTTATCCCTTGCTTTCATGTTTTAAGAAGAGCAGAGCCCTTGCTAATTGCAGGGATTACACAGGGAAATTCTTCCCAAGGGAAGTAAATATAGTATAGGCACATTTTAGGTGGCTTAAAAAATTTCTTATCCTGTGAATATTTGAGCAGAGAGGTGCCCTTTTCATTTGAATAATAAGGCTGCATTTGCAACACTAATCTGCCACTTTAGCAAAAACACATATTCACATCTACTCTTGTGTATGGGAACAGACAATAACAGGAACTCGCTACCCGCTGGTGCTGACTTCGAAGTAAGGGAAAGGAGTAAACACTAAAGAAGTAATGAGAAGAAAATAAGCATGCTTGAAAATATTTCTAGCTAATGAATAACAGGGCCAAACTTCACTTCCCTAATTAATAAAAATAAGCCTATTAGACCTACTGAAATCATTTTAGAAGGACAAATGCTTTCTTTTTTTTAATTTGTTAAAGCCATGTAGAATCTAGCTGTTAGACGTGTAATATTTTGGTGATAAAAAACGTTGGAGGCAATTGCAACTCATGGTAGCAGGTGTGGGTTCTGCTTCTGGTGGCTTCCAGTTTGAGAAAATTTTCAGGATAACTCCCATCCCTACAGACCTCTCAATTCATCAAATTATTGGCACATGAGGGTCTCCACAGAGAGGCAGTTACTTGGGTGACAGTCCATTTGATTGCTGCAGGTGGAGGTGGAGTCAGAGGATGACCATTTCCTTAGTGCATGTTTGCATGTGGGAGACTGTTGGTGCAGAATTTATCATGAGGCCATGCTAAATTCTGAACTAGCAGCTTTAGCTGCAGTGAAATGCAGTCCTGCTGTTTCTTGCCAGAATCAGGGCTAAACATGCAGCATGTGCTGTCCACGGTGGAAAAGAGATCATCAGTTCTCTTAATATGGAAGTTTGGCACCACATGTGGTAGTCAAGGAGTTGGGGAGCTAAATACCTCAGACTCATTCTGTAGGGTCAGGTTGGTAGTCTTACATATAAGATTACAAAATAAATAACAAGTATTTGTTTGAATAATTTAACTTGTGGGTATTTTGTGAATCCAACCATCAGCAGTCTGATCTATGTGTCTCTTCAGGGTAATAAAATGTTATAGAAAAGGAAATCTTCTATAGAAAAGTTTATCCTCCTGGCTGATTGACATTAGATAGGGATTTTAAAGAAGCTTATCATAGGCTAAATTTTTACCACTGATATAAAGAGATTTTTACCACATGCTTAAACTAACATTAGTAAGTAATCTGCACTGAGCATGAATTTCTAAAAACAAACTTTCTGAAAAATCTGAATCAACTATGCCAGCCAATCAGCCAGTCTATTGATTTTTATTTTTAAGAAAAGTCAAAATATTTAATTTATCTTCAATTTAACTTGATTAGGAGCATTTTGTTTAGAGCATAAATTGAAATGTTGTGACCTGCTTAATTAAAATAGGAAATTGCAGTATCTTTTAGGATTTATTTTGTAAAATGCAATTCAGACACTTTCTTCCCTCAGGAATGAGCTCCCAGGGTTATTATCTGTCTTCTAAATGCAAACTTTCACTATGATGTCATCAGCCCTCAGTAAATTTTTTTTGGTTTCCAGGGTGTGAAATTGCTTATCCAGAAAAAAGACTCCTGGAAGCAAGTGGGTGGTCTGGCTGTCAGCCTCTGCAAAGAATTGTGATAGACTAAGTAAGAAAAAAAAAAGAAAAGGGGACCTGAATGCTGAGAATTCAATTTTAGAAATTACTGCATCTTTTATTGAAAAAACAAAGACAAAAATATCATTCACTAGATGCATGTATGCTGTGGAGGGAGGACATTAGGAGCTTTGTTTGCCATGGAAAAAAATATCAAACTTTGCTGAGTTGAGACAAAAATATAACACAGAATGTTCAACTTTTTTATATGACACTAATTCCAAAGGTCACTCAACTCTAACCTTAATCACTAATTTTAATAGGAGAGTAAACAAATGTAGCAGTGCCATGAAGCTTGAAGATTATTGATTAGTAAATTGACAGTAATGTTAGGCTTTAGCTATCCCAAACTCAATAGTCAACATTTTTTTGGTTTTCTACATAATGGAGAGAAATGTTAAGGGGCAACAGGTTGAGATTGGTGAACCATTTCTTCTTTTCTGCTCTCTGATACAGAAAAATATTAACTGAGACTGGATCCTCCTTAGTAATGGTCTAACTGCTTCTCTAGTGAAAGGGTAAAAGTCATCCTTGAATACACTATTTATCACATCTTAGAAAAAACAGGAGGAGCAAACATTTCACAGATTCTTTTGCAAATGGAGAGAAATTTAACAGGAAAAACAAAGTGAAACAATTATGACAACATTGTGGAGGACTTCAATGTATAAAGACTGAATGTTTCTTACCTCAAGAATAGGTCTCATTATTTCTGCTGTAGTACCACCTTGTTTTTCACAAAACTTATAAAATGCCTCGAGATAAGACTACATGAGAGAAGAAGAGAAATATTTTAAATGCTGCTTAAGACCTGGACCAGGATTGCATGTAGCCATGAACCTCATTTTTAAATACTTCCATTAACTTTGATAATTCCACCTATAAATTTAAATGTTAAGTATGTGCTTATTTACTTAGTTCAAATGAAAGCTGAAATATTCAAATGCAAATGTCTTGTTTTTACAATTTGAGATCAATTGTTTTCAAAAATTGTAATAAGAAAAATATTATGTTTTACTTGCTCTCTAAAGAAGGAACTTTTTGAGTTCCATTGAGCTTCCACTGCATAATAAGCAGATGGATAAAGGAAACTCTTCATTTATAGTGTGTGGAGGAGGGGATTTGGGCATATGCCACGGATGTTGGGCCAGCAGGATGAGAATACACAAACTAATCCCTGCTGCTCTACCCTAAACCCTGGATTAGGACAGAACAGCAGACAAAGCTTCTGTAATACTGGTCTACAGAGCCCTCTGGTCTGTTAAGGATTCTGGCATCTGCACCCATTTCAAAATACCTGTGCAGGAAGGACACTAAATATCTGAGATGCTGTTCTGCCTGCCTCTCAATCTCCCAAAATACTGTATTAGAGAACATTTATGAGAAAATGCATTTGCTACAATTTCACACAATCTTGTTAGGAGCTGTCACTAACTATGCAATTAAGTGAATTTTAAGTAGAGACATCTCAAGGGGGATCTACCGCATAGAATTATGCATTAGGTTCTGTATACTGCTATCTGATAGTAGAGCAGAAGCAATCGATCACATTGACAGCTGAAGTAAAGGAGAAATTGTCTATTAATAATTTCATAGTGTTTGCAGAATGGTTCCCCTAATAGTCAGATGAGCAAGAAGAAAAAAAATAGGTTTGGTAAGTGTTAATATATGGATATCCACACAGGATAAAAGAATCAGATATGTATGTTACCAAATTGGAAAAAGTGTCTAATATAGTAGTACTGTGAAAGAATTAAAATGCATTAAAAATTAGCATATGTAAGCATAATTGATGTTGTATTGAATGAGAGAATTAGTAAAAGTTTTGAGAATTAAAAATTGGCTTTGGAATTTATAAATATCATTTGTAAGACAAACAGAATTTTCTTTTCCTTTCCCCTAGTACAATCAGATCACTGTAAAAATACTTCCTGCAATCTGGGGAATCCACTGTGCAAGAAAGATGATAAAGATTTTGAAGAGAATGTGCCAGGAGGAACCTTTGATGGATTGGAGTATGTATAGCCTTTAAAGAGACCATTGTAAGAGTAGTGACCTGCGTGCTAAGATTTGTAAAGTACTTTGAAAATGCAAGGCTCGCGTTAAATGCATATCCTTGCAGCACTATGCTGCAACAATGCTAAACATTGTTTTTAAAGGAAGAAAATTATACAAAAACCCTAAGTAAAAATCATGTTAGCTAGACTCAAAACCGTTAGACCCTTTCAAATCTCATCTTCCTTATATAAATAAAGATAAATGTTAGCCAAAAGCCTGCCTGGGCTCACTCAGGAGGTAAGAGTTTTCTGGTGTTTGGTGGCTGAGTTATTCATAAACAAATCTGGAACTGGATATTAGCTTGACATCTAGAGTATTTTCATTAATGAGATATTAAATTAGAATTTGGATGCAGACCTAAAATTTGAAAAGTCCCCAGACAGTGGAGTAGAAATGGAAGCAGCTGGGTTTCATTTCTGGACTTGAAATCAACCAGATGACCTTAGATAACTTGCTTTATCTTGCCGTACTTCTGTTTCCCCATCCATAAAACTGGGTTAATGATACTGACCTGCTTTGCTGAGACATTTGATAAACCCCAAATATTATCATTTTGTTTCATAGACTTGCCTTGTATAGTTTGTTGCGCATTATTTCAATGTTCATTTCATCCAGGTCGTTTTCAGACAGGCAGTCTTGAAAAAATGCAGCTGAAAGCAGAGTTTATAACATAGGAGTATAAATCTGCATGCTGATAATATGCATCTCTTGTCTATTGCTCACTAGTGTGTGAACAAGGATCCGAGGGTTCTGTTGTACAAGAAAGGGTGATATAAAAGAGAGGAAGAAAAATCTGCTTGATTTTCCCCTTATCCTCCTATCCCCTCCTTTTTAATGAGAATCTGCAGTGAGGGGAATCAATCAGTGCTGCAGGCAGAGCCCACGTCTCCAGAGAGAATCAAATAGGAATGCTAATGAAAGCCCTAATCTCCTCTAAAGTATATAGTTTGGTTATTATGGAGATTTTCTAGAGAGGGATATGAAAAATAATTTTGTCCAAAATCATGCAGGTATTCTGCAACTGTTAAGGAGAATCCTCTTTCTTATTTTCCCTTTTCTTCTTTGTCTATGTAGTGTGGGAAAGGCAACAGGTTGCAGCTGATAAAGGGCACGTGCTTCAACCTTGACCATCTGTGCTTATGGGTCCTTGGCAGAACTGACTAAAGAGCAAGCTTTTGAGCAGGGAGACAGTGGATGAATTTCACTTGTGCAGCTGGACCATTTAAAAATATGATATTCATAACCAACATGTGCCTCTCACTGTTCCTGAGCTATCCCAGTGGGCAGAACAGTACCTATGTAAATGTGTTTTCCTAAGAAGTGGCAATGGAAGATGGTATTTACAGAGAAGATGTGAGCCTGGCCAGGTTTTGTGGTCTTATCCCTTCCTACATTTCCAGCATCTAGATTTTGAATAGAGAATATTAGGAAGTGTAGCCCTGAGAGTACAGTTCAGTATGTCCTTATAGATCTATTGCCCACAAATTTGTCCCATGACTTTAAAGAGCTGACAACACTTTTTTCTTTTATGAACTAGTTTAGAAAAAAACCCAAAAATCCAGAAATTTACTACCAGCTGTGTGAAAACAGTGGTTTAGTTTACCTTTCAAAAGTAGTTTTCTGCTGGGACTTGGTCTTCTGAAGGATTTGGTAAGCAGCAGTTCATAAATCACTATGAACAAACCACTGCTTTGAGGAATCTGTAAACCCTGTCCGTATCTCTCATCAGCTTTGTCCGCTCCAAATTGCAGTCTGGACTTTTTAGTCTGTCTACACATGGCAGCACTGTTCATTTTAGCTGTCCTGCTCTGTCCCTTCTCAGATTTCACTGTACAGTGTGCCAGTGCCCAGGCACTGATGGGAGTGTACTGTAGGGTGGCCTCTGTGAGGGAAAGGCAGGGCTGTGCTGTGCTGGGCACAGGCAGCTCCAGCTGGGACCCACCAAGGGCACAGCCCAGCCCCTCAGTCGAGCAGGTGTATCTGAAGGGAGCCTACATGAAAAACAAACTGGGACTTCTTACCAGGGCATGTAATGATAGGACATTGGGGAATGGCTTTAATCTGAAAGAAGGTAAGTTTAGATTAGATGTTAGGAAGAAATTCTTTACTGTGAGGATAATGAGACAGGAATAGGTTGCCCAGGAAGTTGTGGATGCCCCATCCATGGAATTATCCAAGGCCTGGTAGGATGGGGCTCTGAGCAACCTGGTCTAGTGGAAGGTCCTTGCCCATGGTAGGGGTGTTGGAACTGGATGATCTTTTAGTTCACTTCCTACTCAAACCATTCTATGGCTCTAAACTCCCCCTGCTCCTTGAGACTGCCCTGCCTGTCTGGAGGGATGCAGTGTAACCTGCAGGGATAACAGGGTGGGTAGAGAAGAGGAGCATTGCATGAAGGAACAACAAATGCTGGAGGGAAGGTATTTTCTCCAAGTCTCCCCAAGTTTTCCCCTAAATGTTTCATTATTTTCTGTTTGTCTCCTTATATCTGGATCAGTAATTAATTATGTCATACATATATAAATCAGTAATAAATCAAGTTAATCTCCCCACTGATTTAGTCTGGTTTGCCTGCAGCAGTACTTTGTGGGTGATCTCAACCCACAATCTGTTTTTTGCACCTTTTTTCTCCCCCTCATTGTGCTGAGAGTAGAGGGTGAGCAAGTGGCTGGCTGGGAATTTTTTTCTGTCTGGGGCCAACCTATCACACCTTTTTGAGAAGCAGAACCCAAAACCTCTCAGAGAACTGAAGATGACAGCACATAATGGCTTCATATACATTCAGATACATCCAGTTCTGTCTTATTCTCAGTGCCCTTCACAGGCTATTGGGTTTTGTTCATGTTGGCTGCTACACCACATTGAGCAGAGTTTCATCTTAATTTATAATGTGACATCTCCAAACTTTACCTTGCTTTGCACTTAGATTTAGTTCTTCAAAAAAAGGACTTTTCTTTATATTTGAACCATGTCCAAATCTCAAGAGGGAATCTGGGTTCTACCACAACATCCAATATTTATTAGTAGCTGTCTGCTTGATCCTTAGTAAAGACATATTTTTTAATATAATGTAGGTATTGAAATAAAAATATATATGTTTTAAATCAGTGACTGCTTTGAATAGAAAATATATACATTGCACTTCTTGAGTAACATGTTTTTTTTCTGAGTCTGCTACCCAAGATGGATATAGAGGCTATTAATAAATGTTACTAGAATATGTCCTGAACACCACTGCAGATGTTCTTGATCTACAGTTCAAGATTTGTTTTACCGAAACACAGCATGTCCACTGGGAGACATCCTGTTCTAAAGAATACAGGATTAGTAGTTTTGAGAAAAATAAAAGAAATCATTTAGTGGTTTTACCTAATGGTGTGTCAACCAAAATTGCATTGAAGAGTTCAGTGGGGTTTGAGGCAATGCTGACTGCTTCCATTTGCTCAAAGCTCCCCAATGGATGGCACTTGGGAACAAGTTCAGCTATGGGTCGCTGATGTAATGTGCCAGTTATTAAAAGAATTACATTGTCAATCATATAGCTGTATCTGTATTGGAAAGAAAAAGTAAAAATAAATTATTTTTATAATCAACTTTCACTTGAAAAAATAAAAACCAAACATTTTTGAAAATTAGCCATAATACCAAAGTATTATCAGAATGCATGTTCATTCTGTATCAATAGCTCATCAAAAATCAGCAGTTTTTAAATAGCAAGTAGATAACACAGCACTAGCTTTAAACCTAATTGATATGAGAGATTTAGAAAATGGACATTTTTAAAGAAGGTGGTACTGACACATGACTATAATAAACATAACAGCTGAGATGTAGATTCACTGTAATAAGTGACAATGAGCGGTATCCAAAGCAAATCACCTGAGCTAGCAACTTTTCAAGTTTGGGATTTTTAATTTCATATATACCATGGAGAAAGAAGTACATGGGAATCTCGGCACTAAAACTGCAGAGTTCATGCAGTTGGTCCAATCTTAGGTTTTCTTCTCATTCAGCTTTAAACATCCTCCCATGAGGGAGCTAAGAACAGGCACTTACAGATTTCTTCTCTATTACTTAAAGTTTTCTCTTGAGTAGAAGTTTTCTATCAGCTTCATACCAGTTTTAGTGTCAAAGGGGATGATGAGTCTTGTCAATGACTCGGAAATGGGACCATAATTCCCTTGAATGCCAGTCTTGAGTATGCATTGTTGACTAAGAACACAGCTATAAACATACAGGGATTTATATGTTCTCACCCAAAATATGTAAAGAGGGCTTGAGGATCTGGTGGAATGTTGTTCAATGATTTGTGTGAAATATCTTAGCCAGTATATCCATTATTTTAAAAAAACAGTGAGCAAAGGCTGTGCATACACATCTATACATTTATGTCAATGAGTGTGATAAAAGAACTGCCAAAACTTTCCTGCTTTCATTTTTATTTCCCTGAAACAAAATGTAAATATTGCATGCCCACAGGCATCCTAGGACAGCCTTTAAGATCCTGTTAATATATCAGCCTAAAATTGGTCAGCTACATGTGACCAGGAAAAAAAATCATGATAGTTTCTTTTTTACTGTTATAATAAAGCTGCTCCTTGAAATTTAGTTGAACAGTTCATCATTCTTGTTAAAATATATTAAAAGTATCAGATCAAGGGGAGTAAATAGTTAGGTGAAATATCATGCTGGTATTTTGCTAGTCCATGTTGTTATATTGTTATAAAGCAGATCCCTGTTCTTAAAGTTGTTTAAGTCATTCATTTGCAAGTTTCATCTATTCATGATGGTACTGAGATCAGAGCTTTCTCTTCATCCAGCATCAAACAACAGCTGAACTTTCAAATAAAGCTACTTGGATCTAAGTACCTTGCAATATACCATATAAAGTCCTCTTGGTTTTTATTTATTTGGTTCAAATAGTATAAAAATTATGACAGGTGTAGGATACATTGTCTTTCCTCCTTTAGAAAAGGTCTACACTTTGCCACATGCCTAGGAATTAAATCACTTCCCTGTACATCATGAAATTGTTAATGAATCACACCCCTCTCCCAAACGTAGTTTTTCAATTTGTCTGACCTAGACAGTGTTTGAAAATTTTAACCATTTTTAAATTAATTACTCTCTACCACTTCTTCTGCCACTGTTCACACAAAGAAAACTGCTTCTGTTCTTTAAAATAATTAGTTGCAAAGACAACAGCTCTTCATATTACATACAGTTTCAGAATTTATATTAGCAAGTAAAGCATGCAAATGTAGCAGTAACAAAGTAATTTTGCTGACTTTAAAACTTAAATACAAATTCCAATATGTTTCATTTACACTATTTAAACTGCTTTTCTGTGTGGTACGATATTTGGTAATATACTTACGTGACAAAATTCAGAAAAGTGGCAAGTGGTTCAAAAGCATGGTTTCTAAAGTAATGAAATTCTGTGAGTAGTTTTGTTTTCAGTTTTTCATCAATGGTGGAAACAGTGAGAGGGCCAGTTTCATTTGCCAAGAAATTGCCATAGTCTGTAGTCTGTAGATGTAACTTCAGATCTGAAATTAAATTCAGGAAAGATCATGAGGATAAACTGTCATATTGTCTGCAATCAAATTTTTTTTAAAAAGTTAATTTCTAATACACTTTTATATTAAGCCACTGATAATACTCTATTGAAAAGTTTTTTGCATAGCTATAATATAGGGTAAATGCAAAATTGATGCAAATTTGTGCTTCCTTCTACCAGTAAGACTTTCTGCATACTGTAGGAAAGAACAAATAATTTATGTCTTTGTCAGAAGTTTCAACATCAGCTTTCATTTTCAGACATACCAGATAGGCTGTTACTTCCTACTGTCTCTAGTCCCTCCCTCATCACGTTTGTTCAATGTTTCGATTTCACTGATTTGCACCATTATAATGCATCAGTTGTTTTGTCTGCTGCACTCTCATGAACTGGAATAGGAATAATCCTTTAACTTGGGTAAGATCTTAAATATTCCCATGAAACATATAAATCTCAAGTAAGATTATAATCTTCTGTAATCAGGCTGCCTGAAGAAGAGAAGGAAACACATCTTGCCTGGCACACATTCTGGACTCCAAATAGATTCTGCAGTGGAGCACTTGAAAGGGGAGAGTTTACACTCTCTCTTAGCATTTCTGGTTTGGCTTTCTCTAATTTATGGCTGCTACTAGCAAATCCTAAGAAGCTGTTCCAGAAACTTGGGTCCTTGTGACATTTTCTGTTTGAGCTCTCAACCCTGGTGACTGGGGAAAATGAGTTGTTTTGACCACAAAGTTAAAAGAAACTTTCATGATATCCTAGAATTAATATGATGAATTTTCTCTGCTAGCCCTTTTTTACCATGAGGCATAAGTAAGCATTTGAATAATTTCTTGCTGTTCAAAGCAGTTTAAGTTTTCTTTTAGAAAAGGCCCCACTGCAATCCATAATTGTGTTCAAATGCTATATTAAAACTATCTTAAATTATAGATTGGGATTCTGTTATATGATTTGGGCATTTCTAATAATTAGATTTCTATGTGAAATCTGAACTGATAATTAGGGAAAAGGACAACAACACTCCCACTGATGGAAATAAGAAAGCTAATTTGCAGTTAGCAAGGTAAGCATTTATCAGTACAGTAGCTACTTTTGCCTATTTCCCTATGTGTATACTTCCCTAGTATGCAATAAGGCTGCCTACACTGAGACTTAAAGCAAAAGAACTAGTACAGTATGAAGCAGACTCCTACATTTAGCACTGTAGCTTACTGAGATAAACTTCATAGAGTCTTCTATGCAAGTTGGCTGCCTCTCAAGGTTGCTCAGAGTCCTGTCCAATCTGGCCATGAATGTTTCCAACTTCTCTAGGCAACCTCTTCCAGTGTTTAACCACCCTCCTTTTAAAATATTTCTTCCTTATATTTAGTCTAAATCTATTCTCTTTTAGTTTGAAACCATTGCCCCTTGTCCTATTGCTACAGGCCCTATTAAAAAACTCGTCTCTATCTTTCTTGTAACTCTCCTCGGGTACTGAAAGTTGGCAATAAAGTCCTCCTAGAACCTTCTCCAGGATCAACAGTCTCAAATGTCTCAACTTTTCCTTTTAGGAGAGATATTTCAGCCCTCTGATCATCTCTGTGGCCCTGCTCTGGACTCAGTCCAACAGGCCCATGTCCTTCCTGAGCTGGGGACCCTGGAGCTGGACACAGTACTCTGGATGGGGAGCAGAGGAGGAGAACAATTTCCCTCCCTTGCTTTAGATGCAGCCCAGGATACAGATGGTTTTCTGGGCTGTGAGCACACATTTTCAGCTCATGTCTGATATTTTGTCCAAGAGTAGTAGACATCCAAGTCCTTTTCCACAGGTCTGCTCTCAATTCCTTCCTGCCCCAGCCTGTGTTGATACCAGGGATTGCCCAACCCTTGGCCTCATTGAATCTCATGAGATTCCCATGGGCTCACTTCTCCAGCTTTGCTGGGTCCCTCTAAATGACATCCTGTGCCTCAGTTGTGTAAACTGCACCACTCACTCAGTTTGGTGCCACCTGCAAACCTGTTGACAGTGCATCCAATCCCACTGTCTGTGTCACTGATGAAGATATCAAACAGTACTGGTCCCAAAAAGGACCCTTCAGGGGCACTGCTCAGCACTGACCTCTATCTGGACTTTGAAGCATTTCCCACTACTCTCTGGATGCAACCACTCAGCCAGTTCTTTATCCCCCACATATTGCCTATTCATCAAATCCATATCAAATTGCAGAAGGACAAAAAGACAAAGAAACACAATTGGAGAAAGAGGGAAAGGTAAGCAAGACTAAGAGAAAAATAAAAATGCAGTTATACCCAGAAATTAGTCTATGTAAGACCAAGTTTTTAAAAGTTCATTAATATTTTGATTTTACACCTACATTTCCTGTGAAAACCTTCCTACTTTTCTCCTTTTTTGTTGCAAAGTACAAAAATACTTGACATATGCTGAGATTAGATAATACTACTTTATGAGATGCAGAGCTCAATTCCTTTTCTCAATTCCTTTTCAGATGAACCACAGATATCTACTTTCAGCCCCACTGTGTAAATGCCTTTTAAACACAGTACTTTTCAGGGGTTAATTACATAAAGCAGACTGTAAAACCCAAATATCAGCCCCAAGTATTGACCATTCTGAAATGTGATTAACATCATCATAAGATGAACAGAAACAAAAACCTGCTGATTGAGAGTAGTTTCACAAGACTTTGTTATTCTCCCTCAGTTTTCTGAATTGATTTAAGTGCCTTCATAAACCATACCTTAATATAAGGCACGAAAAAGATTAGCTATAATTCATTAAATAGCCTCACCCATCTCCCAAAAGCTATGGAGGAAATGTTATACCCAGGAATATTGGATTTAAAACCCTGTCAGTTACACAGCCTGTTTATAGGTGTATTTATTTAACTGAATAAATAAATGCCAACATGCATACTGTATGTAAGAAAAAATATTCCACTCTATCTCACAGTCTTGGCCAAAACAATCATCCACAAGCTCCAACACCATATAATATCAACCAGGAATGTCATAATCAGAGTACACATCAAGACAGAGTTCAGGGCAGCTCAGAGACTGAACTGGTGGACCTAAATTATAGTCCTTTCTTTGCTGCTGGCATAAATAAGGCCTGGGAACTATTGCTGTCAGACACTTGCACTAGTGACATGACTTGGTGTCTCAGCAGGAGTAGATGGCTGAGCATTACAGGTCCTCAGACATTCCTGTTCACCAAAACCTTTTATTGATGGTAGCTGCTCCTTTTCTCAGGGTCTCTTGGAGACATACACAAGACTCTGGCCTTTGTCCTAAAGATCCCTAGGGAAGAAAATTCCTGTATTTCAGCTGTCATCCATTCGTTTTGATTGTCATCCATCTGCATTGTCTATTTCCTCATTAAATTGCATGCAGGAAAACAACTTATAGGAAAAATATGACCTTAAATAATTACATGAATTTACTCATAACTGAATAGCAAACAATTAACTAAAGTATGACTAAAAGTAATTAGAGCACAGAGGGAGACTGGTTTGAGATGATTGCAGTTAAGACAGGAATGATCCTGATCAAAAAGAAAGACTATTGTGAGAACTTTAACAAAATGTTAACCTAGTCTCTTGTCATCAAATGGTAATTTGTCTGACCCCTCACTTTGATAGCAATAACCAACTAGCTGCACTTTTCTTTCTGTTAACACTGTTATTTCAGTCACCATGTGCTGGCAGGCCCTGGCTCTGGCAAGTTAAATAAACTTGTGTCAGTGATTCTGTCAGGCCCAGAGTTCAGATGTTTGTCCTTCTGTGACCTACCCTCCTTTCTACAGAACAGAAGTCTTTCTATCACAGAAAAAAAGCAAGAGAAGAACAAAACATTGCATTTAAACACCTCTACACTCCCACACTCCCATATTCTACTTCAAAACTGTCAGCAAGGTTGCTCTGGGAACCTCATTCCCTTAAAACAGATGATGCCATAGGACCAAACTGGCATGCAGCCCATGAGGTAGCTCCATGGAAATCATAGTTCAAACAAGCTGAAGAGGATGTCTAAATGGAGCTGAAAGCCTCTCCTCCTGTCGGTATGGCCCTGCATTGAGAGGACACAGTGGTATCATTAGTCCGTTAGCAGTCTTCTTATTTAATTTCCATCCTGCTTTTACACTTGCTCTGTGATTATCAAGCAGATGTAAAGCACTAATCTAAAGTTTTGCTTGTGGTTCTTCAGTAGTGATGTTATGGTTTCATCTCTAGAGATACCAAAACCACTTTGAAATTAAAAGATCTTTTTGCTTCTGTTTATGGGTTACTTTGAGTGGTTTTGTTTTGGTTTTTTTTCTGCTTGTTTGTTTTACCATATTTGTAGTGTTTTTACTTTAGGTCATTTTTTGTGGTGTGGTGCTAAGCCACAGAATGCAGAATAGGGTAAATTTATTACCTTTTAATGTGAAGACATGATGGCACTACTGAGAAAACACCACATTACTATAGCACAGATCTTCTTGCTGAATATTTCAAATTTGAATCAAAGACAATGTATTAAATTTACTTTAGAAATTTACTTTAAGTGGGAGTCTGTGGGTTTGGTGCACTGTACACTCACAGTGAAAGTTCAGTATTACAGCACCCTACATGTGCAGAGAAATAAGTGTGTTCAGCATCATGTAGAAATCCATTATTTTTATATTTCTCATATTTTCATTATAAATATTACATTTGGTAGGTAAATGGTGGGAATCTGTTAGCTGTCTATAATAAGTAGAAAAAAGTTAGTGGTGAAAGAGATGCAGCTGAATAGTGAAAAAGGGGAAATGATAGTGGGTAGTAGAGATGTGCTTGTAGGAGGGATGATGAAGGCTGCTGCTTCTATTGATGAAATAATTTGCATTCTAAAATTGAATGAACACTAGAAAAAATAAGTTTAAAAAATAAGACTAATTGTTCTTCCTATTATAAATTTTAATTAAGAATGGTTTTTATCTCTCTATTGTTACCTGTCCATCTGCTTCATGCTATTAAAAATATTGAAGGTTTATACATAAGAAATATTTGAAAACTACCTCATGGTGGTAAATAACTTCCTTATAGCATGACTTAAAATTTAGGGGTTTTTTAGCTATTCTAAACTTAACACGGTTAAGTATACTTTTGTGAAGGGTACAAATAATCCCTTTTGCTTATATGCTTTTAACTCTATATCTTTTTTTCTTATTCAGAAGCAACCAGGAATATTTTTCCTTCATGAAGCTTTGGATAACATAATGTATTGAGTTTGTTTGCAGGGAGAAGTGAAGTGACAACAGAGTTTAGTTATTCTACCAATCTGTTCTTTGTGTCTTTTATAGATGCTTGAAGCTGTTACCTTTTTCCAAAGTCTGTATCTTTATGCAGCAGGACTTTTTCACTTAAACAATTAAATACCATATCAAGTGTTTCTGTAGAGTCTGTAAGTTGTATACATCACAAATGCTGGAACAAATGGGGTAAAGAAACAGTTGATTTTGTCCAGCTGACATAAGGAATAGATTTCAGTTCTCAGAGTGATTGTATACATCTGTTCTGTGTGCCTGAACTGCCACTGTGTTTAATGGAGAGCTGGAACAGCTCTCCAGGTTATCAGCAGAAGTAGACACATGCACTTGGTCTGTTCAATAGTGTCTAGATTCCATTGACTGTACTGATAAACTCTTCATTAACATATTCCTATAAGAGGAATTTTATTCTGCAGACAGGTAAATATCTACATGCATTTCTTTAAATGCAGTTGTTTTAATCTGAGAGATGAATGGCAAGCAATCTTCCCAGACTTATGTTATTACTAATATTAATAGTTTAGACAGCCTCAAAACTCTGTTGGATATGGGAATCATCATTCTTCCCTTTTTCTTACTCCAAACCCATTACTGCATGTACAAATCAGCCAAAGCTTAAAATAGAGAGAGCTTATTCATTCTCCTTCTTCCTTTTCCAAACTGATCTAATAGACTGCAAGTTATAGGAGTTGAGTGTACAATCATAGCTTTTATTTTGCAGTCAGGAAAATTAACTTTATGTTCCTTTAGAAAGGTGATTTCTTTCTGTTGCATTTTCTCCTGCCAAGTGTCTAAAGGTATGTCATATGATTCTTTGGTACAAGTCTGTCTTCATCAGGCTGTGACCAGTCTTGGCCACAGAAAGCTGTTTTGGAAACTACAGTGTGTTTTCTTTATTACTGTGGCAAAGTCACCTTGAAAAAAGCTTTCTTTTTTCTTATTTTTTTTTCCTATTTCCCTAAGTTTTATTTTTGTGGAGTCTAGTTTTCTGTTCCTGGTAAGCAGAGTCTTCACCACTGCCCTAAAACTCAGGAAGCAACAAATTACTAAAATCATGTATTTTATAGAGAAACTCAGAGCCAAATAGCAAGCTTTTAACAAGATTTTGGAAACTGTTTTATACAGCTGAAATGGTATGAAAGTTCCAAACCTGAACTGTTCTATAGCATGGCTAAAATCTGTGAGAAGGTTGTCAATCTCTGTAAGAGCTCTGTGGAAGAGATTTCTAATCCTTGTCAGCAAACCAGAAAGCCCCATTGTCTGCATTGCTTAGCAAATTACAGCCTGCACACAAATCACAGTCTATGGAAAGCTATTAACTTAAATATGAGAGCAGTTCTTCATAGGACATTGGGGTTATCTCTGGGTTTAAGACAAACTCTCAGTAGCTCTGTCTTTTACCTTCCTTTCTTCAGAAACGTAAGCAACAGTGTTTCTTCCTGAAGAAAAGAAGCCAGCACTTACCTTCTAGCGTCTCACACTGTGCTAAATTGACATAGTCCGCGCTTGTCAAGATCCCACCTTTGAACCCTCGGACCAGACCCTCCAGGTAGCCATGGTCCACATTGAAGTAGAACTCTGAGTATCCTGGCATGGAGAAAAAAAGATATTTAATCTCTCTTCTGGGTACTTGATGGCACTGAATATCTGCCACCAACTGTATTTCCCCTCTTTGGAAGGAGTGACAAATAGTCACAGAGTTCCTGCCAGCCTATGATTGTGTTTTACCAACCGGTTTCTTCCTGTTTCTTGCTCCTACCGTAGTTCCAGTACAGCTGATGCTTACACAATGGCCAGCCAGTAAATCCAACTCCCTCCTGTCAAAGCCAGAATATGAACCTGTTATTGTTGGAAGAGAAACCAAAAAGGAAGTACAGGATTTAACCCCTGCTTGCAAGGATGCTCTGCACTGCTTGGAGAATGAGAAAGCACATTACAAAGCATGAATAAAACTGTCTTATAAACAGGAAGTTATCTGAGAATGCCTATAGAGGAAATATTTCTGCAGTAAAATAGTAGTCTGTGGCAGAACACTGCTTAGGAGCTTAGATGGTTTGGTAGTGTCCCTGTATTGCTTTCTTTTTTTAACATTTTTGTTTGCTGGAAATTTTCTGCAGCTCATCTATCACCAAATACGTATACGAATTATAAGAACCTTCTAATAATTAGTGTGAACGTTAGATGATATGCAAAGGTGAAAGGTTTTTGAAGTGTTTGACTTTCATTGTCCTTGAAAGTCAGTATCCAGAACTTGCCTCAAAACCATAGTTTGTCTCAGGGTGCCACCCACACCTAAAAACACACACTCATTTTTCAGAGCTTTGAACATGTTTGGTGCATGGTGTTGGCTGAAGGCATGCACCATGGCTAGTCTATTGACATTTGTGCTGAAATGTGGCTGCAGCACGAGTTGTGAGTTGGCAGCTGGTGGGACAAGGCTGTGACTATGACACCTTCTCCCCTGTCCTAGGATGGGAGAAAATGATGAGACCTTGGTACTCACTAGATGATTCCTGTCCATACCACGCTGCTCCTGGCACAGCATGGCTTCGAAGGCTACACAATGAAGCACAAGATGCCAGCATATTTGCTGCCAAAACTGCCACTCCTACCTCCTCTAGGAAGGTCACTAGCTGAATGGTTTCTTGGCTGGCTGGCCAGGAGCCTGCAATGGGCAACAAGTGGCCACAAGCCACTGGGCAGCTATGCTGAGCCAGGGAAGCAATAAACTGCACCCTGAGGGTCAAATTAAAATTGTCTCAGGCTGGATATTATCCCACCTGTAAGCCATGGCAGGGGGAATAATGACAGCATTTAGACATTTTGAAAAATCATGTGTTCAGACATGCAAACTGTATTTAGTTGGAAGTTCAATGGGGCCAAGAGTATTGGAGCTTGCTCCTCATACACTGGGTTTACAGTTCTAAATCAATCAGTTCTTAGCACTGCAGAGCTAACCCAGCTAAAGAAGAATGAGACAGATTAGGCCTATTAAACAATAGAAACAAAACATTCCCTCCCCCACACAAACAATTTGGTTTTGTCTCCCAAGTCCGCATACCAGCAGTGCTCAGAACCTCCTAATGCAAGAAATTTTCAGGAGAATTTTGTCAATGATGTTTCAAAACTCAGAGAGATTTTTCACGATACATGACTGCCATCAGTGCTTCCTTACTGGCATGTGTCAATAACCACATTTTAACTTAAACCTGCTTTTTTGATGCTGTCATCTGCTTTGTTCCAGCATGTTTTGCCCAACAGCCTCTGTTTTTTCCCTTTTCAAAGAAAAGAAATGGAGAGAGCTGATAGTGATTGCTGTGTACACTGAGAGCAGCGTGTAGATTTAACCTATAGCTCTCCAAAGTGTGTGTAATTGCATAAACAAGTCAGGTCTCTCAGCAGCTGAGTTCAGGCTCCCTCAGCTGCAACCACAGCGTCCCACAGTGTGGCACACGTCCAGCTGGGGGCAGTCCAAGGTTGTGCTCCTGATGAGCCTCCAGAGCTTCAGACAGCAGAGCCAGTGCAGAAGTGGCTTTGCAATAAATCCTAAATTTAGTAAGGTCATGTTAATACTGCCTGGCAGGTGTAAATACCACCACTGGTGATCCTCCAGTGGGAAAGGACTACCATGGGTCTATAAATATTGATGGGACCATCTCTTGAAGTATAATCATTCAGCCAAGTGGTCTTATGAAATCAGTGTAATTTTGAATGATTTCAGGAAACTGGAAAATCAGGATAAAGTCTTGAGCAATTTTATCTACTAAGGGATAAGGTGTCAGGTAATTCCATCCAGATTGATAGCCTGCATTTGGTGACATCAGAAAATCCTCAGTTCTCTGATTTTTGTTGAAAGAAAAGCTGAGGAAAAGAGACAGCTTTAACAGCAATTTATACACGATGCATCTAGCTAGTTCATGCACTAAAATTTTATGAAAAAAAAATGTATATTCAATATCTACTGTTGCAGTCTATCAATATAATCTTATTTCTTATAATGAGTGGTTTATATAGTTTCTTTTACACTTGTAGTGGGCACAGTTTTATTAAATATTATTGGGTTTTATATTAATGATTTTATTTAGGAAGACCTGTGAATTTGCTTTAACAAATTATCATGTGAGAAAACACGATACTCTCACCTGCTATGTTCGTGGAGTGCAAAGGTTGAGATATTTTTAAAAGAATCTTTTAGCAGTGAGCTAAACAAATATTGATAGTGTGCTTGGGAGGAGGAGTTATTTCAGGTTAGGCAACATTAACAACACAAAGCTCTTCAGATCTAAGCATAGAATTTAACCTTTGATACTGGAAGCTTTCAAGAGACTTTGATTCAAAATGCATATATTACTTAACCACAAGAGGTCATCGTAACACTGCTGTAAGCCACTTTAGTTTTTTCACCTCCACTGAGTGAAACTTGGAAGGAAACATTAAAAAAAAGAGTATTTTTGAATATGTTTTCAGCTAATCTAAAATTAACAATAAATCTGCCATATATTGATTATTTACTCAGAAGTGACAAACAAAATCCTTCCATGTTACCAGTGTTTTGGCTATATCCACAGATACTTTCTGAACTTCCTCTATTTTTTCTTTTTTTAACACAGTTAACAGCTCCTAGCCACGAGGTTAGTAGTGAAGAACAAATGACAAAGAATCAGCAGAAGAGTGAGTAAGTGGTGTTATATCATTGGAATTTTGGCTAAAGGTACTATTTTTTCATCTTGGAATCGCATTTAGAAGTCTCTATCAGCCTTAGCAGGCAGACCTCTTCTCAAATTTTGCTTTAGCGTATGCAGAAACAAAATTCCCTCAAGTCTTGCCTATGCAATTGTTTACAAGATAATTAGCATCATGAGTGACAGATTCACTCTTACCAGTATACAATGTTGCTTCAATATATGGGTGAAACAGATTTCTTCATTTGTCTTTATATTGACTCTTCATCTTTGGCTATGGGAGATTTTTTGATGTAATTTCCTATCCTGTCAGTGGAAAATGCTCCTTCCTTACTTGTAAATAAGAAGTGGTTTTAAAAACATAGCCTGTTTTCCCAGATGTTGCACACTCCCCCTCCCCCTCAAAAATAGGATAATTTTTTCAGATTAGTTCAGTAAAAATATTATGTGCACTACCGAGATTAAAACTATTTTAATTTTCTAACACAACTTAATAATATCTAAACAGATTTTGATTCTTTTGGAATGCAGTTTCTAGAGCATTTTTTGTTGCATATCTTTTTGCTGACATTGAAAGGCAATTACATCAAAACTCCCTAAACTTGGTAAATTCTGTGATGTTCCAGTGTCAATTTCTGATGGGTGTGACCCATTCCTAAAAATCTTTCCAAGATGTGACCTGTTAAAATACCTTATTTTCTGAAAAAATAACAGGACAATTTTGACTGCAATATGTAAACTGAGATTCTGCGTTTCTGAGGTACTGAGTACCTGAAACTCTTGTAAAATGAATACCACAAGCAATTGGATACTGCATGGAGGCTGGCACTCCATGGAATGCTACAAGTATCTGGTATGGGTAACAGAAATGTAGCTCAACCACAGAGAACACAATTACACTTATTTCTGATTTACACTTATTTACACTAATTTATTACACTAAATTTCACTATTTACCCAGCTTCTGAGCTTTGCTCAACTGCTCTCACTCATGAAGAAACAGTACAAACACATTTAAATTTGTGACTGCTTAGAAATTAAAATGTATTAAATAAATAAAATACCTCGTATTTTTATAAAATATATGAGTATTGAGAATGATAGAGTATATGTGTACAGACACAGTCCAGCTACCATGCTTTGTAGCTGTTTTTTAAATCATTCCCATGCAGATCATCTTGATAGCTAAGCCCTCTTGTGCCAAAAACCTGTATCCAGCTGACACACCCTGTCTTAACCTGCACCCTGGCCAATTTACTCTGACTTTGATGAGAGAATTTGCATCAAAAACACACCCCTAACTTTTCTATAATCTGATTAAACTTTGATTGAATTTAAATAAAATGCACCTTTTACAACTGTTCCTTGTTAGAAGTGTTTTTTTGATATTGGATTCACGAACACCACTCACTGATATGAAATATCAAAGAGCTCCCTTTTCCCCCTTCTTTGCTTTCAAAAGATAATCTAGCAGCTTTTTAGGTCAGCAAGCCTTTTGATTTTTAGGTCTTTATTCAATGAATTACATGCCAGTGTAATAAAAAGGTTTTTATCAGAGACTTAGAGTGGTAAGTCCGTGGAGAGAAGCCAGGACAAAATCATTATCAGTAGATATAAACTTAGAGAAAAGCAGATTTGAGCAAACTAACACAGCTCTGGAATGCTTTCAGAAGTGAAGATGGAAATTTACAAAGTTTCTACACTCTCTTACAAAATTGGGCAACTTTGCTCTGAATAATTTGTACTTTTGTACGCCGATATTCACATGAACTCAGCAGCCTCCTTCTCAGACTCATGTTCTGGCTAATTCTACAGAGGATGACAAGATTCAGATCCTGTGTTTATCTCAAGTCTTTCTCTGCATAGTGTCAGTACTTCTTTTCAGTTATCTTAATTGTTTCTTTGTGAGAAA